ATAGATCTCACCGTATTGACCACAGATGTTCAGAAGGTCATAGCCCGCAAAGACTTGTGGGAACTGATAGCAGTCTATACTACATGGCTGGAAGAATGGAAGCCAATGGTTTTTAGTGAGGTAACATGAAATCAACCCTTTTCTCTGTTAAACATATTCAGAGTCAAGAACCGCCTCTCATGTTAATGAGATGACATATTTATTTCTTTGTACAAAAAAATTGCAATGGGGTATGTCAATCACAGGTTACCCCATGATACAGTCATGTAAGGCTATGCTAAATGTACATAATGGTTAAAATCATTTTTGATGCTTCTGTACTGGTTAATCCACCAGTATGTGCAAGCCCATTAATCAAAATGATACTTTTACTGCTAAAATAGAATTAATGTTATATGTGAATTTTTTAATCTGCTGTTTTACAAAAAAACTGTAAAAAATAGTAAATCAAATTATTATTTTTGATCAAGACGCCAAATTACACTTATTTGCTAGCATTCCTGAACAGAAGAATTAGTGGTTGAATTTTATGCTTGATTAATTTCTTAATTAATTAAAAAATTCCAGTGTGGTGCCACATTTCTAAAAGACATGTTTTTCTGTTTTTATAATAGGTCATTAAATAAAGCATTGTACTTATATAAATGATATCTACTGATATTTAAACTGTATAGATGTATAAATAATGTTTTGTTATTCTAGCAAACCCTGAGGTATAAATATTGCCAACAGACAAATAACACATGCGTTTTTCTGTCAGGTTGTGGTCTCTGAAGCCCAGGATAAAATTACAGAGTGGAAGGAGCAGGCTCAATCTTTAACAACCACCATACCTGCCAGTGATGCAGTGCTGCAGGAGATTTTAGGATCTCTGGAAAACATAAGCCATCAGCTTTTAGTCCTGGCCAAGCTACAGAGCCCCACACTGAAAGGAAAACACTGGAGAGCCATTTTAGAAGGTCAGAGAGTGTGCCTATGCTATAGCACTTCCATACTTCTGAAATCACAGTAAATGTAATAGAACTGAAATATATGTTCTCTTGTGCAGACCTGGGCCTAAAATATAAATCAGAGAAGAATGTGACTGTTGCTGATCTCATGTCTCAACAACTTGAAAGTCATCAGAATCTGATTGACAAGGTAGAACACGAGAGAGGTTTTAACTAGAGCAGCTTTGGCAGTTCTGCTAAAGGGAAATAACAGGCAAACAGTCTGCTGAAATAGTTGCTTTTGAAAACACGCAATACGAATCTGACATAAGACGCTGTGTTTTTATTTTGTCAGATTTGCAGATGTGCACAAAGGGAGTGTGACATGAAGCAAACTTTCCAAAAGCTTTGTCACAGATGGGAAGGCAAACTCTTTCAGTTGGATGTATTTGCTCCCCTTTGCGTGGAAACACGGTGCAAACACACTGGGAAGACCACAGAAGGCGCCCTTCTCAATGTGCTAACTGACAGGAAACACCCCAGTGATCCTAGATTTACTATAGGTGAGGCTCAAGTCACTGTAAGCATTATTTTTGAATTACCTTCTAGCTGCTCTGCTTGGAGGAAATGTGTATTTGGTATATTCAGCTTACATGTTGCTTATATTTGCTTTGTGTTTCCTCACACAGATCTGGGAGTACACTTTGCTGAGATTGAGACCAGTTTGATGATGCTGTCCACAATGTTAAAGTCCCCATACAGTGTTGAGTTCAGGCTGCCGCTGGAGGACTGGATTCAAACACTACAAGAACTTGGTAAAGCGGCAACTAATTTTATCTTTAAAAATTGAAAGACTAAGAGAGAATTTATCTTAATGTCCATAAAAAGTTCAAACAGACTTGTAAGAATTATTTTCCCTTCAAATATTTGTAGAGAAGCTGCTTGCTTTACTTGAAAGATATCAGCAAATGTGGGCCTTCTTAACCAACGTGCTTGGTGGGACATTTTTCCGTACTCAAAGAATGGACCTGGTAGGTTCTTGTGCCTTAAACTGTCATGAATGTGAAGTCAGTGTGTTTGATTAATGATGTTTTTTTAAATCTTTTTTTTAATCTTTTTTTATAGCTGAAGCATTTTCAACCAGTTGATGAGACATTCGAGGAAATGATGGCCTCTATATCAAACGAACCCCGTGTGTTGAACTTAGTTTCCACTGAAACAAATGACAGATTTCGTGGTGATAGCCTTTGCCAGGTTCTTCTTAATGGTTTGTCTGCAATGGAAGTCATTTCAAAACAAATGTCAGATCTTCTTGATGACCTCTGTGAAGAGTGTCCCAGATTCTGGTTTTTGAGTGAAGGGGAAGTGATGCAGATACTCTCTTTGGACCCAACACCTTTTGAATTTCAACCCTTTGTTCAAAAAAGCTTTAAAGGGGTTCATTTGCTTGAAGTTGACTGTGAAATACAAAGAGATGGTGATTCTATATCTGAGTGCCAAAGGCAGATGAAGGTGCTGGGTATTTTTGGCAGCTTCCAAGAACACGTTGCCTTTCAGTCTCCTTTAGAACCAAATGCAGACGCTTTGAAGTGGTTTTGTAACTTTGACAAAAAATTAAAGTTGACCATGGTACAGCTTCTGACACAGTGTGCTGTTGTGAGAAAACAGCTCGAACCATCCAGTCAAAATTTAGCAAGTGACACAAAAGCTAGAGACAACCAGCTCCCCAGTGCGGTAGCTGTGCTGGGCCTGCTTTCTGAATATCCTCTTGAGTGCCTTCTGGTGGTGGAGAGGGCAATATGGTGCAGTGTTGTTCTACAAGCTTTCCAAGAATCGAGCTCAGTGAAGTTCAGCACCATAAAGGCACATATCGCCGCAAAGCTGAAAGGCCTTAGCCATTATATAAGAGACGGAGTCACAGGATCTAAAACTGGAACTCAAGTTTCCAAGTACACAATGATGTGTCTGCGAGCTTTACTGCAGCTTACAATGAATCATGCAGAGCAACTACATCGACTCATGGATGTTCCGTGTGCGCGGGAGTCATCTTTTGAATGGCTGAGTTGTATGAAATATTATATTAACTCAGAGGAGAATAATGATCCAGCATGTTTTGTGGATATTTTGGGCCATCAAGTCCAGTACAGCTTTGAATACTCTGGCCCAGGAGAGTGGGAGATGGTGCATACACCTTGCACAGACCGGGCAATACTAGGGATTCTTATTGCTCTGACAACCTACAGATGTTGTTCTGTGGGTGGCCCTTCCATGTCTGGAAAGAAAAATACTGTGATCCAGTTAGGAAAAGCGCTGGGGCGACAGGTTGTCCTAAAACAGTGTTATCCAAGCATGATGCCTCGTGTTATTCAGCGGATGTTGGTTGGGGCCCTTCAGGCAGGGGCATGGCTTGTGTTGAACTCTGTGGACTTGCTAACACACAGTGATCTGTCGATACTAGGACAGCATCTAGTTGACATACACCAGTCCTTCAACATGTTAAGAAGAGATAAAAAGGAGAGGCTAAATTGTGAGACAGAGATGAAAATTTCTGATGGGGTCGCGGGATTCACAAATGCTGCTGAGTCAGAATGTCACATGACACTTGCAGGAAAACACATTTCTGCCAGTCTCAGCTATGGATGTGTTGCCATCTCATCAAAAGAAAATATATCTAGAGTTCCTGAAAGTCTGCGATTTGCTACAAGATCTGTTGCATTAACACGTCCAGATTACAGAATAATTGCAGAAGTAATGCTAACTTCCATTGGTTTTTCAGACGCCATGTCGTTAAGTCAACGTCTGGTGTCCCTCATTAGCCTGGCTCAAGAGTCCCATTGTCTACCTGATCTTTTCTCTGACAATGACAGCTGCTTTCTTGTTATCCTGCAAAAGATCATCTCAGCTTCTGAAAGACATTTGCAGCAGGTTGTAAGGGATCGAGAAAATTCAAAGTCCAAAGATTCACTCGACACTGATCTTATGTCGTCACAAAATGAGCCTATCAAAGCTTTTGAGGAGGACGGAAGGAAAACTGAAAAGCCTCCAAAGTCAAACCGTTGTTATTTGATGGTTGTACAAAGTTTAATGGAAGAGGAAGCGATTGTCAGAGCCATTCTTTCTGTACTGCTGCCCGAGAAGAAGGCCACCTCACAGTTCTACATGCTTTTCAAAGACGTTTTTCCTATAGCATGCCAGTTTCCGCTTGTCCAACAATTTATTGAAGAAGCTGAAAAGAACCAACTTGAAGATGCACTTAGAGAAGAAATACAACAAAAACACTTCTGTTGTGACACAGACATCATTTGCAATGCTCTTACACTCTACCAGACCATGAAATTGTCTCAGGCAGTTTTGCTTATAGGGCCCCCCGGGAGCGGAAAGAGCACCTGTTACACTGCTCTGACTGGAGCACTGAATAGCCTGGCTACTAAGACAGTGGAGTTGGTTTTTGACAATGACAATACGATTGATGCAGGCTCTCCCCAGGCAGATCAAAAGATATCTCTTTCAAACTGGAGCTTTGTTGAAACTTTAGTCTTATTTCCTAACGCTATGTCCCATGATGAGATATTTGGCTGCTTCTGTGAAAAGAGAGGATGGATAGATGGAGCTCTGGCAAAGGTGCTGCGAGATGCAGGAAGGCGTGAGCATGCAAGCTTTAAACTCTGTAACAATGAGAAGAAAACTGGTGAGACAGTAGTAGTGAAGTGGCTGGTAATGGATGGGGAGCCTGTGGGGCAGCCCGGCTGGTTAGATTACCTAACCACACTGTGCAGTTCTCAGGATGCCTTTCTGGGTCTGTCGTCAGGTGAGACATTGTTGTCTCAGTCAAAACTAAAGCTGCTTATGGAAGTCACTGACCTATGCAATGCAAGCCCCTCTGCAGTGACCCGCTGCAGCCTTGTTTATGTCACGGGAGATGATCTGTGGAAGTCTGTGTGGAAGAGTGAAATAGATGCTCTCTCCTTTAAATACAAACTAGATCACAGAATTGTGAAAATGTGGAATCACTTGGCTGAAGATCTTTTCTCTAGCACCCTTCATTTGCTTGGGCAAAGGAGTTTAACCTCTGCAATCCACACTGAAAGAAAATCTTGCAAAGCCCCCACACACGGACTGCAAGAAGTCATGTCATTTGTCAGGATCCTGCATGCCCTCCTACAACATTTTGGAAAGGAAGTAGAAAAACCTGAGTCAGTGGCACATATCGACACAACAGGTAAAATAACTTGTAACAAATGTAAAACCCTGTAAGCATGGCATAATTATGTTACCCTTACAAAAACGTCATGTCTTTCCCCTCTACCAGATATGCCTCCAGCAGCCACAGGTGCCCAAAGTAAGCAGGAGCAGCTCAGCAGAAACATTTTTCTCCTGGCTTATATCTGGGGATTTGGTGGTCGCCTTCATTCTCGGTAAGATTTTTTTTTATTAAACTTTTTTACTTGGTCACACATTATATATTTACACATACTGAGTTCTACTACCGCCTGTCGATATTTCTCTCTGTAACCAGTGTTCTTCATATATTTCTGTTTTTATTTAGCCACTGGCCACAGTTTGATTTATTAGCCCGCCAAGTGCTCCTAACTTGCAGATACAAAATTGTGGTCCCTGATGAAGTCAGTGTGTATGAACACTTCTTTAGTATCGACACTAAGATGTGCCCCACGAATACGCTGTCGACAGGCTCTGTCATTCCAATGGTTTGTACTTAACATTGCACCTACTATACTTAGAATACATACAGTATTTGTCGCTGCTTCTGAATATTAACAGGTGTCTCAAATGTTTTTCATAGTACAGGAAATACACATATCTCCTGAACCTCATGTTGGAGGCAAAGCAGCCAGTTTTGGTTTCTGGAGAGCCTGGCTCTGGAAAAACCACACTGTGCCAAACTGTGCTGACTTTTGACAAGCCACACATTAACCTACCAGCCAGTCCACTTCTGAGCTCTAGAGACTTGCACACTATACTGAAAAGCATCAGATGCCAGAAGAACTGTAAAGAGACTCCTGGCTTCATGGCAAACCAGCCACGCTTGTTTTTGTTTGTTGATGATTTACATGAAGCCCCCTGTGGTGAGTAACAAAATTTATAACAGAATTTATGTGATTCAGTTTGAACCAGATTTAGTACAGTGTGAATCTTTATGTTGTCATTATGCCTGTCATTTTTGTTCATAGACGTCTTTGGAACGTCTGCAATGGCTCTAGAGACACTAAGACAGAGTATTTCAAAAGGAGAGATTCTAACATTTGACACCTACAGCTCCGAGTTGTTACAGTCGGGAACTATCAGCTACCTGGCTGCATGCTGTATATCTGGATTGGATCATTCCCACAGCGGTGTTATATCCCCACGGCTCTCACGCCTGTTTTCTATCTTTGTGCTTGATGGCGTATCCCCAGACATTTTAATGTCTATCTATTCTCCCTGGCTAAAAATCTGGCTCAGTGAAATGCCACTTAATAGGCACATTGGTGAGGATATGTCATCTTCCATCGTCACTGCTACTAATGAGCTGTATCATGCAGTAAGTGACAGATTTCAGCCCTCTGTGCAGAGGCCTCATTTCATATTTTCCCATCGTGATCTTCAGAAGGTGTTTCAGGGGATGTACCTATGGAGGTCTGTAATCTCAAACAAGGAGAACAAGGAGGTTTCACAACCAGGCTTTCCTCCAGCATCGGTTCTCAACATAGTACAGGTGTGGATGCACGAGTGCATGCGTACTTTCAGTGACAGGTTGTGCTCAGAGGATGATAGGAAAACTGTTGTGTCACTCATAGCCAAGACAGCAGCAACACACTATGGAATGAAACTGGCTAATGAAATCGATGGGGACAGTCAGCCAGCAGGTGGAAATATAGACCCTGTAGATCTGCCTAAAGATCTAAACCAGCGAAGCCAATTGCACAGCGCATTAACTAAGCCTGAAAACATCCTTCAGCAACCACAGATTCTTCAGTATTTGGAAGACACGATGGCACAACTTGCGTTTGGTCCTGATCTCTCTGAGGCCCTAAAGTCGATAAAACAGCAACAATATTTTAAATTTAGCCCTTCTTATCAGGAGCAAGACCTTGATACGCTAGTGCAAAATCTGTGTGTACTTACGGATGGAAAAGAAGAAGGTGAAGGACCTGACTGCAGCATCACAACCAAATACGTTTTACACAGACAGAGGGTGAGTCAGTTGTTACACATTATCAGGGCTTTGCTGCTACCTCGAGGTCATGGAGTGCTGATTGGCTCAGATAGGGGCACAGGCCGCAAAACCACTGTCTGTTTAGCTGCCCACCTTACAGGCTATGAGTTATTGGAGATACATGCTGGTAATCAAAAAAATTTTCATGAAATCCTGAAAGAAGCTGGGAATAAGACTAGGTCGGATGGAATCAGTGTCATCATTCTGGTCCATGAGGAAATCAGCCAGTCTGTCAGAGAAGAATTACTGGTACTGATGGCTCATGGTGCCTGTCCAGCACTCTTCACCGACGAAGAGCTGAGGGACCTTGTTTCCAGAATGACTGCAGCAAAGTACTCACGAAGATATCTTATGGACAACTGGATGTTTGAGAAGTAAGAGGAAAAAGTAGCTGATCTAATGCTCATCATGTTGAGAGATAGATTATCACCACATAACTCTCCCAAAACAGACCTAAATACGTTTGGTATAGTCAGTGTCAATTTAAACATACTTAAATACAGTATGTAAAGTGATGGTATATGTTTATGTAACATTCAGTTATACTGTAGATTTGGAAAAAACATTTTTAAGAAGGGATATATTGGAAAAAATATTTTGCAGTCAGTTTTAAAGCCAATGTGTGAAAACATTTAAACCAGATGTACTGTTTTTCTTTTTTAACAAAGGCGTTTGAGTCAAGTTCACAGAAATATCCACATATTCCTGCTAATGCCATACAGCATGTCAGAAAGCACTGACATACCTTCCAAAAATGAAGCACAAAGCTGGGTTGTAAGTATTTTTATTGAAACCTATGCATTTATTTCATACCAAAAAAACAACTCAAATACTAAACTACTTTTGAAAGTCTGCAGTGTGGCCAAAAGAGCTAACAACTTTACAAATTGGCTCAGGGTTTATTCCTAATTTAATTTGCACATTATTTGTTGTACAGGGACAAATGGCCAAGGCCCTCAGGCACAGCTGTTGTGTTGAGGTGTACCAGCCGTGGTCTAACCAGTCTTTGGTGGAAGTTGCTGTTCAGTGCCTCAAAACAAGCCCTTGTAAAAGTGAGACACAACATCAGAATTAATCGAAACCCCTTGTTTTTTGTTTTTCTCTCGACTGTAGCGAGACATTACCTTTGTCCTTTTCTTTTTATTAAGTGGTTCGAGGAAGCTCAGAGGCCAGCCTGTCTGTGGCTATGGCAGGGATCCATCGGTCTGCATTCCAGTATGCTTCTGTCCTTCTAAGAAATCAGCCTTTCAGTCCTCGGACTTATATGGAATTCATTGCCCACTTTGGTTACCTCTGCAGCCTCCTGCACAAGCAGTGCCAGGACAAAGCCAACAGGTGCCTCTGAGACCAGGAGGTTTCCCTCTTTTCCTTCCTTTATCTCCATTGTTTGATATCCTGCAGCACAAATAACAACACATTTGTGAAAATATTTCTGTGAGCACCTTTTTTCCTGTTAAAGCCAAATTATAGTTGGTACAAAAAGCACAAATTTATAGCACAACTGTACCACAGACTACATCCTCTACAAAATGTCACACAGCTACATTAATCACAGTAACCAAAACCAGCAGGCTAACATCCTATGTTTTAAACAGAAATGACCATGTTTGTCCACAATAATATTTATGTATATATGTATATTTTTAGAATTGCTGCTGCTGTGTCTCGTTTGGATGCAGTGAACAACATATCCATGCAGCGTAAAGAGCACTTAATAAGTGTGCAGAAGATGGTTTCTGAAACAGACCAGGTAAAGTGGAGAACTTTAGCATGTACTGTTTTAGTTGTTGGTCTGCCTGTCTACTACACAAGGTTATTCACATTGAAAAGTTATTTAAAAGATATGTGTGTTCATCACACTTCAAATGCTTATGTAGAACATACTACACATCAGGGAAAAATTTAGTTTTAAAGAACACGTTATGCTAAAGTAGCCTCAGCTAATATTTCAGTTTAAATAAGCAGCATTCGGTTTACAGCACGTCTGCAGCAAAAAATGATTTGTTTAACTACATACACGCCACGCTTCCATCCTCTCTGTCCTGTAGCGTGAGAAAGAGCTCCTTCAAGCAGTAGAAGATCATAAGAAACTGTTTGAGGAAGCCTGTGAGAAGTGCGCTGCAGAGGACCAGCAACTGTGTTACCTGGAAGAGCAGATTAATCAGGCTCAAAAACAGGTCAACTTGTTTTCTTTTTGTTACAATAAGTAGCTCTAAATCCTTGAAATAACTGAAAGCATTTCTTCGCCCATTATAAAATACCTTTTTATTCATTCGAGGTAGTTTGACAGAAAAAACTGGGAACATTTAATAGTATTGTTACACAAAAATGAGCTTTAGGTTCACATGTAATTTTTCCCCCAGATAAAACCTGCATTCTTGTCAGGCCTTCAGATTCTTAAGTGTTTGGATCCATCGGATGTGGAGGAGGTGCGGCACTACAGAGACCCACCTGTGGGAGTTGTGCAAGTCATGGATGCTATTTGTTTGCTGTTTAGTCATCCACCGGGTTGGGAAAGTGCTAAACAACTTCTTTCCCAAGCAGACTTTTTCCAGGTGGGAAAAAAAATGTCTTGCAGCAAATTTGTTACAGATTTCATTGATTGCAGTGGTCAGTGAATTAAATAGCATGTCATAAGTAGGGTAAAGATAAATCTGAAGTTGTGCCATCATTTATCAGTTTGTGTAGTTATGTTCCAGTTTCTTTGTCAATGTAGCTTTGAGGCTTTAAACTTACTGTCTTACTAACGTCTCCTTGTGCAGGAACTGGAATATTTTGACCGCTACAACCTGACAAATGAACAGCTGCAACAGCTTGGGCAGATAGTTCACAGTCCCCAGTTTGTGCCTGAGGCTGTGCGAGAGGTCAGTAAGGCCTGCGAATCCCTCTGTCGATGGGTCCAGGCTGTGTATGAGTACTGCTGTGTTCAGCAGCGAGTGTTCCTAAAGCAGCAGTTGGAGGTTCAGGCTGCAGAGACGAGAAGTCGGTTGAATCGAGCCGAGCAGCGCAAGCAGGAGGTATACAGCTCACTGGAGGCCACTGAGCTTCATCTGCAGTGTGTTCAAAATGACCTAATGGAACAACTGATGCTGCTACACAAAGCTGAAAGTGCAGAGCAAGAAGCTTCTGCATGTGCTGGGCAGAGTGAGACATATGGCAAAGTTTGGAGGGCTGTTGCTCAGGTAATTCGCAAACATTGTGCATCACTTTTAACATAGGCTATCACATTTAACATACTTACTTTTGAATGTTTCTTTATTGAAAATTATTTTTTCTCTGTTTTCTGCCCAGGATACAGAGGTACGTAATCAAAACGTGCCAGGAGACGCCCTCCTCTTGGCTGCGACCGTCTCGTATTTAGGCCCTTTTGGACCTGATACACGCACAGAACTACTGCGCAAGTGGCAGACTCTGTGCCAGACAGGAAGCATCGACATAAACCCCAACGACCCCAGAATCTCCCTGTTTACACAGTTAGACACTGTACCTGGTTCCTTATCCCTTGGTTTTCCCATCCCTGTAACTGAGAGATTGCAGTTGCCTTTGGGTCAGGCATTAGGGATGAATGAGTGGCAAACTGAAGACACTCTCTCTGCCAGGCTGGTGGTTAAGCTGTTGCTGTGTGGATACAGAAGTACCTACATCCAGCATTGGCCTCTACTAGTAGACAGCCAGCAACATCTGGAGATGAATTTTCCAAATAGTCTCATCCTAGGTATGTGTGTATGTGCCTACATTTTCAAAATGATTAATTACACATGTAGCATTTACTTGGACCAGCCACAACATGAAACCATTAAAACCAACTATTATTTTGTAGGTTCCCCTTTGTCAGTTAAAACAGGACTGATTCATGTAGGCATGAACACCACAAAACCTCTGAAGTTGTGCTGTGCTATTATCCGTTAGCTTCTTTGCAGAAGACCATTAGATTGTGTAACGTGTGAGATATGACCTCCATGAATTGCACTTGCTGTTCTAACAAATCCCACAGATGTTTGATCAGATTGGATGAGTCAAGACCTTGAACACTTTTGGGACATTCATCAAAGTTGAAGTTGTTGAAGTGTAGCATTTTGTATGTGTACGCTGAAAGAGGCAATAGGAAAGACTGTCGCCATGAAAGGGTGTACATGGTGTAAACAGTGTTTATGTAGGTAGAATGTGCAAAAGTAGTATCTGCATGAATGCAATATCAGCTCTTCCAGCACTGCACAGAGAAGGCAGAGACTCTACTGGCCTGCTACCTTCTTTTATTTCAATATGCTGCCATCTCATCCCCAGATGGTAAATGGTATTCATCAGACCAGCCCTTCTGCTCATGTTCTATTGTTTAGTTCCAACAATCATGTTTAGTGTAGATGCTTGTCTACAAGGAATAAACATGGATACATTGATATGAAATAGCAAACAGGAAGTTGTGTGTAGAGTGAACATCCCACAAGACTTGCTTTTCTGGAGACTTTTCTCTAGCCATCACAGTTTGTCTGTTACAATGTAACACATGCATGTTTTTATACTTCTGACACATCAGTTTTAAGAATTGACTGTTTACTTTCTGCCTAATATGCACTCTTCATAGGTGACACAAGATAAGCAAAGTTACTCACTTCACCTGTTAGTGGTTTGATTGCTGTGGCTGATTTTTTTTATCCACTGCATGCTTGTTACCCTTTTTATTTCTATACAAAACTGTTTTTATGATTTTAAAATCACACAACTCCATGTAAGACTGAATTGTATTGGACCAGTGTATGATAAATATCTACTCAACAGGAAAGAACACAAAACTTGAGGAAGAAATAGATTTTGGGATGGTAGTTTGTGGAGATGACGTGGAACTGGTGCACAAGCTGGACCAGGCTGCTGAGAGAGGTGACATAAGAAAAATACAAGTAAAGGTTGATAGTCTGTTTTTTTCACCATAATAATCATTTTTAATCTTTTGTTTTGTAGGTTTGAGAGTACTGGTTACTCATGTGGAGCGTGCAATCCCCAATCCTCAATTCCTGGCCAAGTTGTCACGTCCTGCTGGATGTTACTTTCCAGGATTAAATCAACCTATTCAGATGGTCCATCCTGAGTTTTGCCTCTTCCTCAGCACATGTCTGCCGATTAGACTACTTAACAGTGGTTAGTTTGATTAGTGGCGACAATTTAACTTTGCACCAGATTTCATTCCTGATTTTATTTGTAGAGCAAGTAAAATAAATGACATTTGTCTTGGTTAACACCAAATGTTAATGTAGAGACTAGGTAAACTAGATCCTCTTCTGGAAATTCTCTGGAAAATGTTTAGTTAGTAGTTGTCTTGTTCTTGTTCTGTAGGGATCCATCCATCTATCCTGGCTCAGGTACGTGTGGTTGACCTTTCTCTGAGCTCAGAAGACATCCCAGAGCTGATGCTGACACAGCTGCTGCAGGCTGAGTGTAAAGAGCTGCTGATTCAACACTTGCAATTCCAGAATTACAAACAGGAGCTGCGGGAGAAACTGGCCACAGAGGAGGTGACTAGACCAGCCTTTTGCATCATACTGATGTCAAGTGACTTACCTTGTGTTAAACAAAACAGCACTGGATGTAAAGTAGTTTAAAACCCAATCCATCATGTTCATATAAGGAGCTTGCTTATGCTGTAGTTCTTCTGAAAATTGGGCATTTTATATCATGTCATGTTCATGTTATAAGCTGAACACATTCATGCAGAATATTTTGACCTGACTTTTATTGTCCATTTTATCAATGGTATTGTACTTTGTACCAGTTGTGTCCTGAATTTTTTAGGGTTGGTTGTATTTTTTTTCAGTCAAACTGCAGTGTCAGCTTTAAGTCTTACCTAAAAGTTTTATGTTAAATTTTAATAGTTATTTCTGATTCTCATCTTAGGACGCTCTAATGGGTTACATCCTGCAGTCTAACACTGTCCTGCTGCAAGACCCGGATTTTCTTCCCCGTGTAAAAGTTTGTCAAGAAGTGACGAAGAAGCTGCAGGATGAGATGAAGCAGCTGAGGGAGCAGCTGGAGCACCATGAGTCCCTGCTGGCAGTGCCTCGCCACTTCGTGAGGCTGGGTGCCGCTCTCTACCAGACCCTGCAGGCTGTGTCCAGTCTTTCCCCTGCCTATTATTTCTCCCTACATGGCTTCATGACTGTGATGCAAGAAGCTTTCACTGGGAAGGACAGGATAATAGGGAAAGTTCCAGGGAGCATATTACAAGAGTTGATAAACACGATGGTAGTCAAAGTGCTGGTACAATACAGGCCTTGTCTTTTCAAGACCCATGCTGCTGTTCTGAAGCTGCTTGTGTCTTTAGCCCTGCTCCAGCACAACCAGCTGTGCTCTGAGGGTGAGAGGTTGGCCTTCCTCATAGGCCTTGGAGACACACAGCATCCTGGGACTGATTCACCATCCTCCATCACTGATCTTCCCAGCTGGATTTCCCCACTTATCCACTCAGAGCTACTTCGCTTGGAAAAGATTCCTTCATTCAGAGGCCTAATTGCCTCACTCTGTGCTTCCCCGAAGCAATGGCAGGAGTACCTTCACTTTCCTTCCTCTACAGTGTTAGGGCTCGTTCCCTGTCGTTCTCACTGCCATCTCTCTTTGCTGCAGCGGGCTCTCCTCTGGAAGACCATGATCCCCGACTGTCTGGAGGGACTAGCAGATGCCATAAATGCCTGTCAACTCTGCCTTCCTCAAAAGAAAACAGAGACTGAAGCCCCTCTCGTTGGGAACCCAGAGGCATGCTCACTATATTTGGTCAAACATAAGGAGCCCATCATTCTTACATTGCCCAATCCAAATAGAGATATGCAGATAAGCATTGAGCCTCTTTGTTTAATAAACCAGTTGGCCAAATGTGTACCAGGAAAAAAAGAGGTGACAGCACAGTTTTTTCTGCCATTATAGAGTTACGCCTGTAATACAGTGCTTGATGCATTTCTTCCTATGCTTTAGATTCAGGTGAAAGTCCTTTCCTTTTGGGCTCTCTGTGACAGAAATCTCTTCCTTTCAATGCTGGACAAAGCTGCTAATGACGGCCACTGGTTGGTGTTTAACAACAGTCATCTGTTCGAACAACTGGATGATGATGTAGTGGCTAAACTCAGTCATTTAATCTCCTCAGTCAAAGGTAGGGGGTAAATCAGTGTCAGTTTAAATTTATTTATTTAATTTGTCCAGTCTTTATGTTTGTGGATTCTTCTGCCTACTTATGTGCCTCATCCTATTATACAGAGAAGCCTTGTCTGATTCACCCCAGCTTCCGATTGTGGTTTATAACTCAAGAAAACACATCACACCTCATACCAGGTAGATCTATTATGTTGCTGCTTTTTCAAATATTCATTTCCATCTGTTCTATTTTACTCTAAATGTGACCCTAATTTATGAAATGAAGATCTTGTTGTACTGAAGCATACTTTTGTCATGACAGCGAACAACTGTTAAAAGTAGCATCACTGTTGGTCCATTCAGCTTGAAGATTAACATGTAACTCTGTACTTTAGTACACTTCCAACCTTTTACAGTGTAAGGAGAGCTATTTTTCACAGGTATATGTGAAAGATTCCTAAAGTGAAGCTTTTGCACAGACCATGTCATGGTTTGTTTTTAGTGACAGAGTGCTTTATGTAGGTCAGCAGTGACCAAAGGTGCACTTACACATTTTGTTTCTCCTATGCTCCTGTGAGTAATATTGGCTGGCGTGCTGGAAATGTGTGTTATAAATGTGCTTTCAGAAAAACAGCTACTCCAGTTTTGCTCTTGTTGTAATAATCATAATGATTGAAATGACTGTCTTTATTTTTAAACAGCGTCAGTGCGAATGTGTGCTCTGCATCTGGTCTGTGACTCTTCCTGGGATCTGAAGGAGGAGCTGAGCTGTTCTTTGCGACAGGTGGCATCCATCAGTCAGCCACAGTTGGGTGTCATGGCTGACAACAAGACACTCCTCCGCTGCGCTATCTTTCACTCTGTCTTGGTGCAGCGACAGACCTACAAGTATTTAGGCCAGGGAAGAATCTATCACTGGTAAGGAAGTAAATATGCATTGTATAAATTGTTTATGATGGAGAGGTAGAGGTTGTTGTATGATTTTTAAAGATTTATAATCTAAATAAATGTATACATTTTCTTCTTGTTTTTTTGAAGGAGTCAGGAGGACCTTCATGCTTTAGTGGATGCATATATTCATGTTGCCCATCTGTGCCATGACAAGACTAAGGTTTTGCAATATTTAGCAGGTGAAGCAATATGAAAATATAAAACACCCTAATTCAGTTACTGCTCGATTAATTAACTTTTGCTTTCCATTCGTAGTCAGTCTAGTGTATGGTGGCCATGTGACAGACTCTGCAGATTTGGAGGTGTTGGAGGACATTGCCAAGACCTGCTTCACTACAGCTTCACGTCACTTGAACAGCGGACCGCACATCCTTTCGAAACTTGTCAGAAGTTCTGGTCACTCTGGTAACTGGACATTTTTCTACCAATTTAACTAACATTCACTGTTGACGAGAAATGGTTCAATTTTTTCTTTAAAGCTCTCAGAACACTGGTGCATCAATACTGCACCAAAATGAGACTGAATTCCAGACTTAGA